GTTTTTCAAAGTATAGTAAAAAACAACTGAATAAAAACCTAATGGACAACTATAGTTTAGTTTTTTTAGTACAAATATGGGTAAATTTAAAAAATATCGAAAATCACTTTAATTTTAGTTCAATTTAATTGCTAAAGTTCAGTTTTCATATTATAGCATAATACATATCAACTAAGTATTTCATTTGAGAATGTTAGAATAGAAGGAAATTAATCAAACTTAGTTAATCATTTTTTTTAAATGTGAATTGAATATTATCAAGTCGAATATTCCTAGTTTAATTTAACATTTGTTAAAATGAAAAAATTTTTTTCTAAAATTAATAGACAATTTTATTAATAACCAAATTTATTTGATCCCATTTTCACTTTTTTTATTTTGTAATAAAATATATTTGAAGTATCAAAATTCGGTAATAATAAGTTTTGATAGTATTAATTAATTAAACTGAACTAAAATTATGGCAAATTTTCATCTATCTATTAAAAAAAATGATTTGTTAAAGTCCTATAATTAATTCAGTCATAATTAATCAAATCAAAAAAAAGATCGGTTTCTGTTTTTTTTGGATGTGTAACTAGGAATATTGCAAATTCCGAACTTTTCTATTTTTTTATATTAAAAAATTCACAATTTAGCAAAAGTTGTCGAAATAACTTCTTGTTGCCGTTTTTTTCTTTTTCATTTATTCTTTTTTTTTTGTTATTCACGAATAAATGAAATATTTAAAAAAGCTATGATATTCATTCATTAAATAAATATGTGAGGTTTTTTATCAGTAAATTGCATCAGCAAATTAATCATATTTCATCTTAATGACTCTAAAATGACAAAATATTATCAAATGACACGAAAAATTAACCGGTAAAAATTATGAAATAATTTTCATGACTCAAAAATTAATTTTTCATTCGGAAGGAATTTTCCATCAAATATATTGTTGGTTTTTTTCAGATTGCTCGCATGATTTCCAACAAATTGCAATGGAATTTCAGCGCAAATTTCCCGCGCAAACAGCACGAGATATTCGAGAAAAACGATTAGGAGAAATGATTAAACGAAAATTGATTGACTGTGATCATAAAACAAAAAAAAATCATTGGCAAAATATGATAGAATTATTAGCAAAAGCAAAAATTTCACCAAGGTATTTTTTTCTTATCTTTTCTAAGATTGAAAAAATTTTTGAAATTAACTGTAATAAAAAAAAAGAAGAAGAAATAGTTCATTTAAATTAAAATTTTAGTTAAAAGATAATGTTGCAGTGAAGAGGAAGAATGTAGTAATGGACTAGTGCAGGAGCGCATCGCATGCCTTAACTTATTATCCTATACGTGTCAATTTATTAAACGTGACTACACGTTTCGTTTGATACCTGCTCGTGTTATTATCCAAGAAGCGCGAATAATTGAAGATGGTGTTACAAAATGCGTAAAAGTTATACGATTGGTCAAAAAGCATAACCAACCTAGAAAATTTTAAAAAGAAAAATAATACAGTAAAAATAATTAACAATTTTTTTTTTTTTTTTGAATTTTTCCGGCAAATTTAGATGTATTTTGAAATAAATTCATGCCAATATGTAAATTTCACGCTTGTTTTCATATTGTTTAATTGAATTTAATCGTAACATTACTTAATAATAAGTGAATAAGTGAAGGGATGAGTGAATGAACGGAAGAGTGAATAATTAAATCAATGTTCCAAAAGTTTTGAATTGTTTACGGCAATATATTGTCTCACATCAATATCATTTATTACTTATTGTTTTATTTGTATGATATTATATTAACTTATTGATGGCGTAAATAAGAGATTAATGTAAGTATATAACAATATCAAATATTTATCTTAGTCGCATTAATTAACAATTAAAATGCTGAGAGAGAAATTCTCAAAGAAGAGAAGGAAGGAAAAGTAGAATAATAATGAAAGAAATGATTAAAAAATGATGCAAATTATTGTTTTACTATTTTTGTATTTAAATATAATGTTCAGAAATATTTAAGTAAATTATACTGATTTGTTGAGGGCATTGAAAGTTATTAATAAGAAGAAAAAATAATTAACAAAATGAATATAGCAATTCATAATCTAAGAATGTGCTTTTCGCTTTATTTAGTCAAGAAATTTCTTTTTTTAGTAAAATATTTTAAATATATTATTTCTTATAATCACGGCTTGGCTGAGTAAACAGTTGTGAAGGGATCTATCTATCCGTGCTTTTTGAAAACACTTTGCAGGACTGGTAGGACTCATTGCAAAAGACAACGGAAATTGGGTGGTGCTTACAGAGCTGCTCCGTTCTTAATACATTCTTTTTCCCATAAGGTTGGTCCTAGTTCGGTATCCAAAATTTACGTTTTAATTCATACAAAGTGTGTGTGATTCTGTGATTCTTGCGTGATATAACTCTTCGTGTTGTTATGTTATAATAAGATCAGTAATATAATCATAATTCGATATATATATAGGATATTTGCTTACATCATTTAATTCCGAATATCCTAGATAGCTTCTTGATCTTCATAATTTATCAATTTCACCTTGATACAGATTCTGTTTTTCCTTTTCTTCATCTGTTATTTTCTGCGACTGCGTTCGTTTGATCAATATCCTTTCTGCGATGTCATAGTCAATTTTGTCGTATACTTTCTTTTCATCAAGATTTGTTAAAAATTTTTTCCATCATATTTAAAAAGTGCTTCATCTGTTACATTACTAGATTAATAGGTAATGTTATCCACGTACAGATTTTTTCTTATCTCCCACGCCAATTCATTACCATTATTTGCTAGATTATAGTTTAGCGTCGCTAACAAGAAAGCGATGATGATATGACTCCAAAGAGAACTCTTTTAAAGTAATAACATTTTTTAATTTCTTTGTTTGTTTCTCTATATCATTTAGCGAAAGAAATCGCGTACAATTTCTTTCTTCAGCTTGTAATTTTAGTTGCAAGAATGCTTTTTCAATATCAGCAGTTATCACTACTCTCATCATCCGAAAACGTATTAATCTGTAACATTACTGGACTTCGGTACAATACTTCGTTCAGACTTTTAAAAATTTTTATGATGTGCTGAAGCGTCATAAGCAATTTTTAATTTAGTTGTACTTTTGCTAGGAGTCAGCACTTCATGATGTACCAAATAGTGAATAACAGCTACTTCATCCGTTGGATGTACTTCTTCAATTATAATCGATTGTAATTGATCTATAATTGTTTCGTGGTATAAATGGAGAATTGATTTATGTTGTAGTCATTGATTAGATTCTTCAAACGTCCATAATTGTTACTTAATTTTTGTTTGGAGTATCTGCAAGGCTAGCATACTTGATACCTCCCACTTGCTTAATAATGGTTCGTTTGAAATTCATTAGATAAACCTATTAATTATGATAGTGATCAAGATGAATATACATTAGATAAACCTATTAATTATGATAGTGATCAAGATGAATATACCTTATACATTAAAAACTAAAGTCAAAGACAATACTTTTATCACATCAGAAGTTTTTTGGAGGTAGTGGAGAGAAGAATACTTTATAAGTCTTAGAGAACGTATGAATGAAACTAATTTCTCCCAGGTTGGTATAAAGAAGAATTCCATGTGAGAATGAAATAGTTTTACTAAATGAACTCGAATACCTCGTGATATGTGGAAACTCAAAGATAGTAAAAATTAACCGAGGATGAGATGGAAGAATAAGAACTGCAACAATACAAATACCTAATGGAAATGGAAAACAGATCAGTTAATAAATATGCTTTGTCCTATGAAAATAGATGGTTCCGAGGATATAGAAAGTAAAATGGAACGATACTATAATGTTGTCGACATAATGATTTTTCCTAATCTCATTAGCGAGTTCATTGTCGTAATTCTTCAAATGATAGTTAAGTGTGGCCAATAATAAAAATGGTGAAGATATTACTCCAAATGGGACTCGTTTAAATCGATAATTTTCAATATTATCTTCTGTTACTTGTCCGCTTATATCCTTTAACCAAAGGAATCATGTACAGTTTCTTTGTGTTGGTAGTAACTCCAACTGCAAAAAGGCTTTCTCTATGTCTGCTGTTATAACGATTTCCATCATTCCGAAACGAAGCAGTACTCCTATTAAATCAGGAAGAGTTATGGGTCCTCGGTATAATACATCATTCAGACTTTTTTCTCCTTTTTGGTGTGAGGATGCTCATACACGATTCTAATTTTGGTTGTAGCCTTGTTTGGAGTTATAACTTCATGATGAGATAGGTAATGAATAATACCAACCTGGTCCATCTCTGGACATACCTTCTCGATAATACCAGATTGTAACTGATCACGAATCGTTTCGTCATATTTAAGAAATAAACGTTCATCGTTCTGAGGTCGTTTACTTAAAGATCTTAGGAGACTTAGGCGACCAAAACACAATCCGAAATTGTTGTTTAATTTAATTCTGGATTCTTTCCATGGCCAGGGAACTTGGTATCTACCATTGTTTTTTGTAATATTTTCTTTGAACTTTTCTAAAACTTGTTCATCATCCTGTAAATTAGGTTGTTCTTGTATTCCTATTCAGAATCGATCAGTCTCTGGAATGTCAATATTAATAGGTGTAATGTTGATATGATCTTTATTCTGAACGGAACTGCATGTGATCTGTGTTACTATCGTGTTGAGGTGATTATCACACTGACGATTATTGTGCATGTTTATGTATCCACTTCAAGCAATCATAGGGCCGACTATTGTATTGATTAAAGAAAACTCTGAATTTATAGTTTGGGCTTTCTCTAAAGAGATAAACTTGAAGAAATAGTCAACTCCGATAATTAGGTCAGGCTGTTTCCAACTGCTAATTTCCTCTGTTAATGGAAACAGAGTCGAAATAAGTGATGTATTGTCTTGGTCTACAGATATTACCCTTATTTTGTTTGTTAAATAGTCGACTACTGTGGCTACAATAGGCATAATATCTGCTTCTATCGTTTTTATTCCAATTCACACTTTAGCAAAAAGCGATGTTTGAGGATTCCTATTGCCGAACCCCGCGAATGTCACTTGTTCATAATCAATATCTTCTAAATGTAATCTTTTTGCTAGTTTCTTCGATATACACGTTGCTTGAGCACCGCCATCAAATAAAACTACAATTTTATTTGAAACCTTTGGCATATCTAAATTAACTGCTTCAACTTCTTTGCTAAAAAGCAAAACTTCTCTGTCATTTCCTTTCGAATGTTTTATTATTGAATTGACTACTTTTGCCGTCTTTCGATCTTCTTCGATTGGTTTTACTGATTGTGCTTGATCGTTATACTTAGTACAGCATAATGCAGTATTATGGTGACCTTTGCAATAAAAACATACACGTTTTCTTGTCTTGCAATTGATTGTCGTATGTCCTGGTTAAAGACAGCTTAGACAGGCGTTGTTTACTTTCAGTGTTGCATTCTTCGTTCTAGATTAGGATAGGTTTGACATTCATTATCCCAATGGTTCCTATTGCAAAAAGCACATGGTCTTTGAGTTTTGTTAATCTTCGTATTAACCTTTCTATGTGTTTGCGGTGTTATTATAGTTAGAGCCGAAGTTTCTTTTGTAAAATATCGCTGATTAGTGGACCAATTTTACTTTTAGTTTCCCTTTGCTCTTTCATGATGTCAAGGGATTGACTTCTTGTAACTTCTTCGTTTCTTTGGATCAGTTTTACTAAGAAATGTCTTAGCTTAGCTACTGACCATATTTCTTGTTCCTTTTGTTGATACACTCTGTCCAGAATCCAGGCAGGCAGTTTATTTTCAATGATAATTTCAATATTGGATTGTTCGAGATTTTCACCTATTGCTTCAAGTTGTCAAAGTATTCTTTCAGTAGCTTCAACTGTTATCTTCCATTCTCGATCATTCTTCTTGACGGAATATAACTCATTGTAGAGCGATTTTTTTAATGATATGTGATTGTCCAAATTTTTCAGTAAGGACTTTTCGCATCACATCATAATTTTCTGGGGTTATATCATAACCTCTAACAGCCAATAGACATGCAATTAATTTTTGGATGTCTGGTATTTTTTGTAAATGGACTGCAGCTTCAAAGCTGCTCCAGAATCCTCTCCACATCTTAAGGTTACCACTGAAAGTAGGCAGTGGTAGTTGAGGTAAGTTAACAGTTGGGTAAGGGGTTATTTGAGTTGATTACTCCTTTATTTCGCCTTCTTTAAGACGCTGGATTACTAACTCTGAGTTATTCATATACTTACTTAAGGTTATGATGACTTCGCCTTCATTTATTAGGTTTAAAATACCTCTTTTATCTTCGACCATTTTGACGTATTTGTCTTCCTCTTCCTTTCTGTTCGTTGCTGGAACCTGTTGTATGCATTGGACCCAGTTAGCATTAATTGTCTCAAGTGTGCCAATATGCAGTTTGAGACGCATTATTTTTGCTTCAATAATTCTTTTTCGAGCCTCGTGCTGTTGACGGGTTTCTTCTCTGGTCAACATTTGCTCCGAAGGCGTCAGATCCATTTCTTGGACTTCTTTGAGAAGAGCTTCCAATTTTTCTTTTGCCGGTCGTGCGCTTAGTATAATAGTTGCAGACATTTCTCGGCTCGTGGCACCAAAAAAATTTTTTGTTGATTTGTTTAATTAATAATATTGGAAGAGGTATTTGATCGCAGGGAGATTATCTTGGATGTTAATATAAATGCGTGAGGTAACAGAAATATAATCCAAGTTCTTTATTAGCAGAAGTAATAGGACAAAACGTTGATAGAGAACAATTGAAATTGGAATCGTCGGTCCTTGGCGATAAATTACACATATCCCAATCTTTTAACAAGGGTGATCCTTATATAGCAATTATCTTATATTATATATGTTAAAATATGGGATTAGTTTATAATTAGACATTTTTATACAAATGATGATAGTAAGTAACTTTAACAATAGGTTTAAAAATGCATATCACGATGAATTAAATGGATATCACGAAAGAAAGTACAATGGTTTGTCCAGACATTATGATAAGTGGCTACTATGAGTTGCAATAGACATTACATGATAGATGCTCATAGTATATGAATTGATATAAGATCAAAAGTTAATTGAATTGTAAAGACATCAATGGATTGCTATATTAAGTATTGTTAACATTTATTTAGTGCTTTGCGATGTTTAAATCCGCCACAAATTTGTCCTTTCTTAATCATTACGATGTTTATTAACCTTCATTCTACAATACAATAAACTATAGAATTTATATAAAAAACAAAAGAAGGCTCGTTTTTCTTCTTTTCTTACCAAGTGGATAAGTTAAAATATCAAGCAATTAAAAAAAAAAAAAAAACTAGTTAAAAAAAGAAAACTTTAAAAAGAAAGATATGATAAGAAATCCGCAAATGCTATCGAAGTAAGGATAGTGCACGTGAAATCCTATTAGTTGTTCATATCTCTGATACGTAATTACTAATCTAGTATATGCATGTAAAACGTTTACATAACATGTAGGTGAATCTTTATTATTATCATGACCTATTACTATTATTATTATTGCTGTCACTGTTCAAATGCATGAAGAAATTGAATATTTTGAATTTGAAGTTATTTTCTTCACAAAGTCATCGGAATATTATTGACGAAATGAACGAATTTCCCACACTTGAAAGTTGGGTAGATCAGTGTTACAATTTTATCATAAAAATAAGTTTGCTCACTATGCTTTTTGATAATTTTGCCGTTAGCGCTATTTTCTTTGCACTGTTTAACCTCCTTTTACTATTGGAAGTGGTAAAGAACTACTAAAAGTGCTAAACTTAGAATAATAACAATTTTGTCAATGTTAACATCATGTGAGAAACTTAAGCTATTTATGCGTACAAATAGACATTATAAATTTATAAAATCCAATAATATTTGTGTTCGAAAAATTTAAATTTCCCCTATTGATTCTAAGCTTCATTTCGTGATAATTCAAAAAAATCAAATAAAAGGAATATTTCTTACTTGATTAATTAGCTACTTTATTTGAATAATGTCAATTCATTTATGTAATGATTAATTTTTATTGGCTGAAATTTTCATAAGGAGAAAAATTGCAAATGTGTATTTACTCCATAAAATAAGATAGATTTATGAATATCAACAAAATTGTAAAATTTCTGCATCATTCTGATGATAGCACCAGAAATGCCGTGTAGCTTCTCATTCTTGAGCACCTTATCGTATTTCTTCCGAAATATTCGCGAATTGTTAATTGCTTTCTGTTACGGCTAGAATGAATATACCAAAAGGTAAAAAAGTTTGCCGAAATTTGGCCTAATGGAGCAATTAAGTGCTTCTTTACATGGCTTTTTTTTTGCATCGCATTATTTACTGAATTTTGTATAGCTATTATACAACGTTTTCATGTGCACATTTTCAGCACATTTTCTCGTGCATTTCGCTTCAAACAGACAAATATGTTTGAAGTCTTGCTAAATTTGTGAAACTAACGTGGAGCTTTCGTACAATGCTTCCTATGAGCGCTTAGATTATTCCTATAGATGAAAATTTTGCCACAATTTTCGCACTGAACATTAATTTTGTGTGTTTCCTGATGAATGGAGAATGATGATGGATGAGTGAATGTTCGCCCACAACCGGGCACTCTGCATTCATAAATAAAAGGTTTGGGATGCGTTTTTCTGTGAGCTATGTACTCACTGTAATTCTTTGTTTTCATAGTACATCCGACATGGAGGCACTCGTAATTTTCCTCATCTGAAAAATTCTTTTACAACATTTGTTTTTATAATTCTATCGATATACTTAACAGCTCAGGTCACAGTTCTTTACTAGTTTTCTCATGTATTTAAAATTTTTTTTTTTTGTAAATTTTCCGCTGCGATGAAATCATATCCAGTCCTCGATTCTTTGCTGTTAATACCTACAATTTTACACATTCATTCCATTCCTTAAACAGCAGATACAGTTTATCTTTTTTTATGTTGAATATAAATGAGAAGGATCTATCTCTTTGTTGAGTCTTTGTTAAATATTGATCTAATGAATTTTGTACTGCTATATAATGAATCTTTCTCAGCTGTGCATTTCACTCCAGGAAGGCAAACATGTTAGAGTTCTGCTAAATTTGTGAAACTAACGTAGAGCTTTCGTACAATACTTCTTGTGAGACCTCAAATTATTTTTTGAGTTGAAAATTTTGCCACAGTTCCCGCACTGAAGTTTAGGCCCATGTGCTTCCTGATGGTTGTAGAATGATGATGAATGATTGAATGTTAGCCCACAACCGGGCACTCTGCATTCATATATAAAAGGTTCGGGATGTGTTTTTCTGTGAGTTATGTATTCCTTGCGACTGTTCATTTTCATTGTGCACCCGACGTGGGGGCACTCATATTTTTTCTCATCTGAAAAATTCTTTTGTAACATTTGTTTTCATATTTCCATCGTACCAATTTGTAATTAATTAACGCATTTTGAAGACTGATCATTAAAATGCTTGTGATAATATACTTCAAATAGCTTCTTTACTTGTTTTTTAATGTATTTAAATGAAAAATGTAAGTGTAGATTTCCTGATGCGATGAGATCATCAGTTCTTGATTTTTTACTGTTTAATATCCACAATTTCACGTAAAAGCAAAGGCCTTCTTAAGAAAATAACTTTTAAACTTATTCCATTCCTTGAACAGCAGGTACTGCTTATCTTTCTTTTTGTTGAATATAAACGAGAAGGATCTATTTCTTTAGTGAATTTGTACTGCTATACAACGGTTTTTTCTCAACACATTTTAATGTGCATTTCACTTCAGATAGACAAACATGTTTAAAGTTCTGCTAAATTTGTGGAACTAACATGCAGCTTTCGCGCAGCGTTTCTTATGAAAGAACAGATGGCTCTTATACTTGAAAATTTTACCACAGCTTCCACATTGAAGTTTAAGTCCATGTGTTTTCTGATGACCGGAGAATGTTGATGGGTGATTGAATGTTAACCCACAACCGGGCATTCTGCATTCATAAATAAAAGGTTTGGGGTGCGTTTTCTTGTGAGCTACGTATTCATTGTAATTCTTCGTTTTCATAGTACACCCGACATGGAGACACTCGTAATCTTCGTCATCTGGAAAATTGTTTTATAACATTCCTTTTTGCAATCCTATCATAGCAATTTGCAATTAATTAACGCAATTTAAAAACTGGTCATAAAAATGTCGGTGATAATATATCTCATATAGCTTAGGTCACCTTTTCTTAGTTCTTTTTTCGTCTGTTTAAACAAAAAACGTAGTGGATTTTCCGCTGTGATAAGATCATGATTCTTTAGTATTTATATCACAATTTCACGTAAAAGCATAAGACTTTTTAAGAAAATAATTTTTAAGTTTATCGGATTCTGAGAACAGCAAGTACTGCTTATTGTTTTTTATATGGAACATAAACGAGAAGAATCTCTTTATTGAGTTCTTTGTGTCAAATTAATTCTTCACTGCTATACAACAATATTTCTCAGCTGTGCATTCCACTTCAGGTAGACAGTCAGGTAAAAAATGTTCAAAATTTTCTGAATTTGTGGAACTAACATGGAACATTCGCACAGCGTTTCCCGTGAGCGTTTAGTCTATACTTCGAGTTGAAGTTTTTGCCACAATTTTCGCACTTAAGTTTAGGCCCGTGTGTTTTCTGGTGATTGACGAGTGTTGACTGATGAGTGAATGTTCGTCCACAACCGGACACTTTGCATTCATAAATAAAAGGTTTGGGATGCGTTCTTCTATGAACCATGTATTCCTGGTGACTTTTTGTTTTCATAGTACATCCGACATGGGGACACTCATAATTTTTCTTATCTGAAAAATTCTTCTATAACATTTGTTTTTGCAATTAGCATCTTCCATTTATCATTTGGTAAATAATTGTTATAGTTTGGAAAGTGATTATGGTTTTAATTTATATTAGAAGCAAAAGCTTAATGTTACCTGTAATGGAAGCGCTTTGCAAAACAAATAACTCTGAATTTTTCGCAGTAACGAGATCAGTTATGTTTTCAAATTCCTTAGTACTTGCATCGTTAATTTCGCGGAAATGACTGAGATCTACGAAGTGTAGAGGGTCGGATGAAATGCTGCTATGCATATTCTCACCATCTGTTCTCGGCAATTCTTGCAACTGAGAGTTTCCTGTTGTAATTGGGACGGTTTCGATTTTCGAATCCTCATTGCTTCTATGCTCACTTTTCCACAAATCAGTGAAATCGAAGTGCGAAAAATCAGATGAAATGCTAATCTCCAAATTCCTAGCAGATGATCCTGGTAATTCTCTACCAGTATTTTCTGGATCTCTTTTATGAACATCAATGCTTGAACCTAGGATCGACTCCAAATTGCTATTATCAAGGATGTTGAAACTAGTTGAGAAGTACCCATTGCTACAGTCATCCCATGTAATGTCATCGATGTCGAGATTTAGTAGAGAGATAGTTCCATTCTCAGCCAAAACAATACAAAGCAGAAAGCTCAACCAGATGATTTGTGTCATTGAAATGAAGAGCAAGATGAAAAACTGAATTTTTACAATGACAGAAACACTCCACTGAAAGTTTTTATTTCAGATTGGTTGGAATTAAACGACCAAAGGTTTAAACAGTTTTTAATCTGTCTTATTTGCATCATTCCTCATACTTTTTCCCTTTTACTGTAATTTTTCTATTATTAAATTAATAGCTGATGAATACGCTTTTGGATTACACGAATAAAAGATTAAAAATTAAATTGTCATGCATGAAAAATTAAATTCATACAGCCATCAATTGTTACCTGTCGTGTAACTCCTGATAATTAATTAATATCACTTCATCATTTTTCATTAATTTGAAAATATTTCTAAAAGACTCTACAAGTGCGCAAGAATGAGAAGCTGCACGATATTTCTGATAATATCATCAGAATGATGCAGAAATTCTACAACTTCATTATGATAATTCTAATCATTATTTATCAGATGAATCTCACTCTTTTTGTTTCAATATTCTATAACTTTCCAATTCTTTTACTTCTGTTTTTCTTCTCATTGAGTATTACATTTTCAATTTACACTTAACTGACGTACTGTACAGGAATCTGACTGAAATGCTAACATTTCATGCTTAATCTAGTAGGATTACGTCACATGAAACACAATAAATCTTTTGTTATTCTCTAGTAAAAAAATCGGGTGACAAAAATTTTGTTTGAACCAATTGTGAAAAAACATGAATGGATAATGTTATAAAAATGTACAACAGAAAATGTACAACATTTTGACAATTGTTGTGAGCTAAATTTACATATTTCGCTTTTGTTCTATTCCAACAATCTTTCATCTGCTGAAATTGCATGGAAAGTATTATATTCCATTAATTGACCTCTTTCAAGTTCACTATTCGACCAGCTTTTATGTCTTGAACGTTTAATTTGATCAGTTGGAATTTGACATTACCAAATTGTTTAATTATATTATTTTTATATCAAATGCATTTTTAGTAGGAATAAGTTAATTTTCATTAAAAATAATGTAAATTTAAGTCATTACCAAAAAATAACTGTGCCTACCATTCTCATCAAGACAATTCTTGAAGAAATTTTAGCGAGAATATGCCATCAATTGGAAATTTTGTATAAATTCTGGTTGAATTACTTCTCTGAATTAGGAAGATACAATGATTCAAACTTTAAGTTCTTTAATGATTTTTTGTTTTTCAACCATGACTTATTACTTTAATGAAATTCCAATCTACATGCCAACTGGCCAGATGCTATTACTTCTCTGAATTGGGAAGATTCATTTAACAAGGAAGCAGTCGAAAAGTCTTTATTTTGAGGCTTACAGTGAACACTAAAAACTAGAATGTATTAAACATATGAAAACACACGATGAACAGTTTATTTATAAGCTAAACCCGATTTTGAACTAACATGTCAGTACTAAAGTGCTAAACTTACAATCCTAACAATTTTGTCAACGTTAATATCATATGAGAAACTTAAGCTAATTATGCGTACACATAGACATTATAAATTTATAAAATCCAATAATATTTGTGCTTGATAAATTTAAATTTCCCCTATTGAATCTAAGTTTTACTTCGTGATCTCTCGAAGCTCTCTTTCTCTCTCTCTAAAAATCTCTCGAATCTCTTGAAAATCACTTCATGTAAAGTGTTAAATTGTCAATGAGATGTCTGGCCACTGACGTGCACGTAGTCGATGGATTATTGGGCAATTTTTTTTGCTTTTCGAGATGATTTATTACTGTAATCCATTTTCAAAATCATCATGAAAAAATGTGCATTTTGTTAAGGTGGAAATACATTTGTCATTCTTTGTGATTGCAATTGTAAGTTCGATGACAAATTAATACTGTCATTTTCTCCATTATATCATATTACAAAATAATTACTAACTGTGAAGTGATGTGAGTTCTAACAACAGTTAATGTTTTTCATTACTACAGGAAAGCTAAAGCAAATACTGTTTTTTAGAATTTGTATAGATTGCTTAGTTAAGGCTTTGTAATATTCTTTCCTTTTTAAGACTTTGATGAGATTTTAGTAGTTTGGAAGTGAAAATGGATTAGCGGTTTAGCAAAAACTTGGGAAACAAACTGTATCAGAGATTTATATCGGACTACCGATATAAATCATATTGATTTGGTATATAATTTCTTCTTTGACTTTGGCCACACTACAGCAACGTCAAGATTGCTTTATATATTTTATGCTTCAACACAATTGAAACAATTGAAAAGTCGTAACACAAGAAGAATCATTGCCTGAAATGAGAGAATATAATGGAAATTGCTGATGACGACAATCCGAAATATAAGGTTAAAGAAAATAAAATAAATCACATCTATCACAATAAAACATAATAGCGTAAAACTCCTCTGCAATTTTTATTAAATTATTATTGATTGTACTTTTAGACACTCTACATTTTTATGGGCAAAAATTTTGGCATTTTTGGCCTTGACAAACAAAAATCAGGACAACCTGAAAATAGTGTATGTGACCTAGTCTAGTTTAAAATTTTATTTTACATAAAGAAACTAATAAAAAATTATAAGCTATTCATTAACATAAATTTGACAGAATAAAATGATTCATTTGTAGCTATTTCCATGGATTATCATAATAAATATGTTTTAAAGATATTGAAACTTTCTAAAATCTCGAATATTTTATCAAAAAGAAACAAATTGCTTTATTATCGTTGTAGACGATGAAAGGCATATCCGATAAGGATTTTGCTCTAAAATTGAAGAAATCAAAGCGCGATATGAAACGATAGCAAAGAAGGATCAGCGGATTGAAATGAATTGGGATACTTTATTTGTGAGTGTTTTTTGGTGGCTGAAATTACCAATAAATAATATAAGAGTATGGCAATTAGCTAATAAAAATTTGAGGGATAATTTTCAACACACACACACACACACACACACACACAAACAAAAAAACACATACACCACACCAGACACCACATGCCACACAAAATACATATTTCAATTTTTTTGTTTCAAATAATCTATAAATATTGATTAGATTGTAAGTAACTTACGACTTTTTGATTGTCTTAAAAAAATTTGGCAAATATTACAGTGATTACTGTTCTGCTACGCTTAATATAATTTGTCATAAACGTTTGTCTTCAATTGCAGCAAGCAAAAATATCGAAAAAGATAATATATTAATATTTATACTATCAACAGAAACTGCGTTAAAAACGAAAAGAAAAAAGACGAAAGAAGTAATTTTGTGGATAATTAATTTCGCTTGTTTGTTTAAAATATAATTTAATAAAGATTACATTTCATGCCAAAGACAGAAATTTTGCTCATTTATGATAACATGTAACCACAAATACAGATATGCGGAATTTTATTAAATATTATTCATAAGGAATTATTTCTTCATTTCTTTCACATTTTGTAATGAAAAAAAAAAAAAAAAAAAAACTCTACTATTAAAACTGATCCTCGTTATCACATACAAATTATATTTCTGGAAGATTCCATCAATGAAAAATACACTGTCTGGTTACTATTACTTTTAATTACTGTTATTTTTAACTACTGCTAGAGTTTATTGAGTGTTAACATCGAATCTATTTCTTTTGAAATGAATGCTTTCAACCTTTTTCGATAGTATGCGGATTTACGTAGGACAAAAGTCATTTTCCATTTTATTAATACGAGATTAATTGATCAAAATTTATAATAAACTTGTTGTTAAATTCATGCAATGAGCAAAGATTATTCAGCTTAAAAGAGAAACGAAATTGACATGGAATTCATTGTATATTTGCATCGTATCCCTCGAATTCATTCGGTCTTCATTTTTACTTTCAAAAAACGATTGGTAAGTTGCTTGAAAATCTAAATTGGCCGTCCTTTTCCGTTAGACTGAAAAGTCGCAACCTCAAGGCTCATCAAATTAAAATTTAACTCACTGTAATATGTGTTTGTATTAAATTCACATTGCTTCCCTTCATTAAGGCACTAATTCTGGAAACGCTTTGCAAACGATGAAAAACCCACGATTTGCACTTTTCATATTATTTTTTTGCATTTTCGGCACAGACATATTATTAGTAGCGTCAAAGCGATCCGCTCCGGTAATTTTTGAGAATTTATATAGATATGATGTGACACTGAAAAAAAAAAAAACTAAAAAATCAAAAGTGCGGGTTCTCAGGGTGAACGATTTTTTTCCCACTGATGTTATCGTCAACGAGAACTATACCCATGTCACCTTTACCTTTCTAAGCACATCGCAGAATACCGTTACTCCATACGCCACGAGTCTCCTCAATCAATTATTGTAGATTGGACGAATAACTGATGCAATGCTACCTTGGAAGTAAGTTTACCTTCTAATATCTTCTCATAAGTACACTACTAGCGTTGTTTTCTTTGCATCATTTAACAGTCCTTTTGTTTCAGCACTGGCAGACCACTTGTAGTTCCACTTAATAGGATTGTGCAACCATATTTTGTCAGTTTATCCCAACAAAGATAGTTTTCTTGGTTTATGAATGGAAACCGATTCCGTAGAATTTGATTATGTTTGTTGTTTAAATTAGCATTTGTTCATTCTCGAATTAAATCATTTTTGTCGCAATGCAATAAGTTTCAATTTTATATCACTCGAAAAACTGAAAATCACTATGAAATTCTGCTAACTTTTATTTACAATCAAGAAGCGTAACGCTACAAACTGCAAAGTAATAATTGACTAGGCTTTGTTTCCACATGAAAAAGACCATAAAATACCCCACGCAGTTTCTTGTGAAATTGTGTACCTTTGTTTTTTCCATTTTTGAAACAATGAATCTTTTATCAAAACAATGAATCCACACTACGACAAGGATAATTCTAACTAAAATAGTTTTCTTGGTATCAATTGGATTTATGATTTAAATATAATTCGTATAATATAATACTTAAACTATGGAATTAAAAGAAAGTAACTGAGAGAACTATCTTGCAATTTGTTGCTT